CTCCCCCCCTCCCCCCAACCGCAGCTCACCTTCGTGGACTTCGTGGCGTACGACGTGCTGGACCAGCACCGCATGTTCCTCCCCGAGTGCCCCGAGCTGCGGGGCAACCTGGGCCGGTTCCTGCAGCGCTTCGAGGTGAGCGTGGGGACACCCCGGTGTCACCGGCCCTGTCCCCGACACCCCTGTGTCCTCATCCCTGTCCCCAACGACCCGGTGTCCTCATCCCTGTCCCCATCCCCTCAGTATCCCCAGCCCCAACACCTTGGTGCCCCTGGCCCCAGCCTCAACACCCCAGTGTCCCCATCTCCATCCCTGACACCCCAGGGTCCTCATCCTCATCCTTGAATCCCTGGTGTCCCTGTCCCGGACACCCCGGTGTCCCCATCCCTGTCCACCAGCACCCTGGTGTCCTCATGCCTGACACCCCAGTGTCCCTGGCACCATCCCTGACACCCTGGTGTCCCCACCCCCAACACCTTGGTGCCCCTGGCCCCATCCCTGACAACCCGGTGTCCCCATCCCTTCCCTGACCCCCCCGTGTCACTGTCCCTGTTCCTATCCCTGGCCCCCTTGTGTCCCCATCCCCATCCCTGACAACCCAGTGTCCCCATCCCTGGCACCCCAGTGTCTCCATTCCTGTCCCCATCCCTGGCACCCTTGTGTCCCCATCCCCATCCCCGACACCCTGGTGTCCCCATCCCTGACACCCCCGTGTCACTGTCCCTGTTCCTATCCCTGACACCCTGGTGTCCCCATCCCCAACCCCATCCCTGATGCCCTGGTGTCCCCATCCCTGACACCCCGGTGTCACTGTCCCTGTTCCCATCCCTGACACCCTGGTGTCCCCATCCCTGACACCCCAGTGTCCCTGTCCCTGTGCCCATCCCTGACACCCTGGTGTCCCCAACCCCATCCCTGACAACCTGGTGTCCCCCAACCCAGTGTCCCCATCCCTGGCACCCTTGTGTCCCCATCCCCATCCCCGACACCCTGGTGTCCTCCTCCCCAACCCTATCCCTGACACCCCGGTGTCCCCGTCCCTGACACCCCAGTGTCCCTGTTGCTGTCCCCATCCCTGACACCCCGGTGTCCCCATCCCATCTCCTCCCCACAGGCTCTGGAGAAGATCTCTGCCTACATGCAGTCGGGGCGCTTCATGAAGACCCCCATTTTCTGGCGCACGGCGCAGTGGTGCAACACCAAGGAGTGAGGGGGGGGAGGTGTCGTCCCCCCCGTCCCTCCATCCCCTCTCCCTGTCCCCTGAAGAATAAACTGGGGGGGCTTCCCCCTTGTCCAGCTGCAGTGTGGGGTGCACTGAGACAAAGTGGGGCCACAGGGTGCTGGGAAGGGGACCCCCCAATTTTGGGGGGGGTGTAGCAGGGTAGGGGGCTCTTGGACCCTCCTGCACCCTGGGGTGGGGGGAAGCCATGCCCCCCAGGATAAGGGGGACGCCCCGTGAAGACTGTGGGGTGAAAGGGGGACCCCATGCCCCCCCCAGGGTAATAAGACCCCCGTGCAACTTGAGGGGGGATCACAGAGGGACCCCCATGCCCACCAGGAGAAGGGGGGTCCCTATGAAGACTGGTGGACCTGTGCTCCCCAAAACCAGGGGGACCCCCATACAGCCTGGGTGATGTAAGGGGAGCAATTGTGCCCCCCCTGGGTAAGGGGGACCCCCACATGCACCCTGGAGGCATGCAGAGCCCCCAGAATAAGGGGGGACTTTGGGACCCAAAGGGGGACCCCCAGGGAGCTTGGGCGGGGTGCAAGGGGGGAGACCCATGAGCCCCCAGG